GTCGATCGTATTTTTCACGTGAGTATCGATTTCACTTTTGTCATATGATATACACATGATTTATTTAAATATAATTAAAAGTTTTTTTTTAAACAATAAGAGAATTGAATTATGAATTGATTGATCAATTTTTCATCTTCAGTTAATGGACGCGAACAAAGATGGCGTGGTGACAATCGAAGAATTAGTACAATGGTGTTCCAAGGACGAACAACTTTTGCGAAGTCTCGACACGCTTGATACCGTCTTATGAGATCTTTATAATTATTTTATAATTCTCACTCAATTTCCCCAAGACTCATAAATCCCCTTAAAATTATAATGCAACGTTCGAACGAGTTCTATCAGTAATTTCTAGAAATTTGACTATTTGGTCGTATTATTTAATATTTAATACTTTATGGAAGGAATTGAATTTCGATTGAAATTACTAATTCGACTTCATCGAATGTTGCTTGTAAATATGTACTTATCCTACCTACCCAGTCTTTCAAGCGTGCTATTGAATGCATGATGAAATTAACAGTATTATCCCTGAATAGAATTCCTTCTTACATCCTGCATGTACTAATCCTTGTGCGACTAACAATTGTGCGACTATTCGATTCTCGCGCGACTATATTTAATTTAAAAAAAATATTTCAGCTAAAAGAAGAAGATGAATTTGTGCTACATATAATTTTGATTTCGGCATCAAAAAATATTATATCAGTATTGTCTTGAAGGATTGAAATATCTTTCATTGGTATTAAAATTTTAATGGTACGAATTTAATAATTCAGAGCAAGTTATCGAGCGGTTATTGTAGGTACAATACAGAATTGTTAGGTAAGATCGATGCGATGGGAACAAATTAATCTCCAGATTCGTTAAAACGGAGACTGAACTCTATATTTAAACATAACATCTAAACTTTAAGAAAACTTTAAGAATTTTATCAAATTATGCTATAAAGTTTTTCCGTAAAATTCACAAAACAATCTAATATGCGATCTAATATTTCTTAACTTCTATATTTCCTCTAAACTTCTTTCACGAGTTAAGAAATATTTTGTATTCCTTCCTTTAAATAATTTCATGGTGCACGTATGAAGCAGTTTTACTTTTTCACGATCGATCAATTTTCTCTAATTAAACAAATAAAATATAAACGTACTTGATACTGACCATTAAGTACGATTAAAAATATTTTCAAGGAGCTTCGATTATTATCCATCGTTTGGGTCATTTTTTTATCTTACAGCAAATATAATTATAAGATTATTAATTAAAAATTTATTCGAAACTTTACATTTCAAAATTTAAATATAGCTTACAAATAATAAAGCGTTCAAGAAATTCGTAGAGAGAATTTATTCAAAGTTTATTCAAAGTTTCAAGATTGTTAAATTCAGGCATATGCGAATAATATTTGACAATCGTTTTAACTCTTGTATAAATGAATATAAAAGTTTTCTTCGATCTTCCTGCTATATTCTTGAATATTTCCAGATTTTTTATTTATATTAGGAAATATGGCAAGAAAATGCAAAAGTTCAAAGTTTAAAATATTTAACGCTATAAGTTAAAAGATTCGCATATGTCTATATTATAGATCATAGATTTACAATACCTTCAAAGACCCATATACGATGGAACATATATAGTTAGTAACCCAATAATAGCGTATCGTAGTACCCTCGACCAATCAAGAGAAACGTGGTCCTCTAAGATCAACGCCTCGTGTGATTCTCTCGTACCTTATTAAATTTATTATTACTATCGCATAAAAAATATTGTTATTAATATTGTAATTACTATCAATACTTATTACTTGTCTTCTATCAAATTGAAGCAAGGTATTGCGCTCGCAATAATGAAAATTATTGGCGCATATTCGAGATATTCTAAATCTTATGTGTACAAATATCATCGAATTTGTTGAATTTCTCAAGTTTATTAAAATATCCATATTATATTTGGAAAGATGTGATCTAAAATGTTCTATATAATGTCATGTGGATATAAAGAGATCAATTCAACGTTTATACATTCAATTTCTCTGGGATATGCAATTTAAACTAGCACATCCTATACAAAAATATTTGTTATATATCTTATATCAGTTCCATTCAGGAATCAATTTTTTTACAAATTGATTGCTGATAAATTGCTGATAAATTGTATACTTATGTTTATACACGTGTGTATAATAATTTGAATCGATTACTTTCATTATTTTTTTATCAATAATTATAATTATACTGTTAAAACAATAATTATACTGTTTTATGATTAGATGAGATATTTTTCAATTTTTTTTTATCTCTGTACAATTTTAATTGTTCTTTTTTTTTTTTTGAGATAAATTGAAAGTATTAAAGAAAATAGTTTTATTTTATTTAATAATATCAAATTTTATTTAATTTTAGATATTGAAAGTATCACAATTATCTTTTAAAATAAGATTGGTACTAATAATTTTTTTTTTAACGTTATAAATTGTACATGAAATAAAAATAATTATAATTATAAAATGCAATATGTATCATATATATTATTTTCGATAAATTTCATAATCTTTAAACTTTTTTTTATTCTTTATATTTCATTTGAATTAATGTAAGTGCAAACATAATAAAATTCATTTTGTTAAAGAGAATCACAAGATTAAAGTAGACTGATCGTTTAATTATGTGACATCTAGCTCGAAGAATAGCAACAGTAGTATTGGATATGCATCGCCAACCGAGTACGAACAAATCCAAGCAACATGTATTGAATAAAGTTTGTTGAATATAACAAATATTTTTTTATCGAAAAAAAATTACATCGAATTACATTTTATTCAAGAACAATAAATTAATTAATTGTTATTTGTATAAGAAATTCGTAGGATTTTTCCCCTCTTTTATTATCTTTCTCTTCTTTTCCTTCTTTACCATCTTTTTCTTCATCTCCTCTTTTTTTCTTATTTTATCATTCTCCTTTTTCTCTCTTTTTATCATTTTCCTTTTTCTCCCTTATTATTTTTATTTTATTATTCTTTTCTTCTTCCTTTATCATTCTCTTGTATATTTCCATACATTTTATATATTTTTTTATGTATATTTTTATATCTAAGAGTAATTTAAAAAGATAAATATAAAAGGTAAATATAAAACTGATTTTATATCAAATTCTATAAATAGATATTAATAAAATGACAAAAAAATGTTTTGCTATTGAAGATATAGTGAGTTAAAATAATAAATGTAAAAAAATAAATATAAAAGCAGCAGAAAGATAAAGAGTAAAAATTATGGAATTAACGCCATCTTTAGACTGTCGTAAATGAAACATATAAAGAAAAAATAGAAATAATGGAAAAAGGATAGAAATACATCAGAATTGACTCTTATTGCCATCTTTTGAATATCAAAGACAACTTTTCTTCAAAACAAAATAAAGTAGAATAAAAATTATAATTCCGCTCCATCTCTTGTTAAAAAACATTATATTTCGAATGATAATAAAAAAAACTGTTTAGGATAAGATATATGCTGAATATTAAATTTATTTTGTATCTTGTCTAAGATATGATATATGTGCTATAATATCATTCTTATTTTATCATATATATTCTTATGTCAAAACAAAACAATTGATTATCATTAATTATAATTCTTTTATTCTAATTCGATTTTGTTATTTCATTTTATTTTAAATCGATAATTAATATTAAATCGATAATTTTGCATATAAGAGTATAGCAATGAAAATTTGATTAATCTATGCGCATGATTGACCACTATTTTTTATAACTCATTAACAAAGTTACAACAAAAATTTTTGTTGTAAAAAAAAATATTGCTTTAAAATTACTCAGGAATTACTCAGGAATTTTCAGTTATCGATGTTTTCATATTTTTAGAAATTTTGCATATATAAAATATATCATTTCTTGAACAGTACTTCAAAATACAAAATCTATATATATTTTTGTCTCTATCTTATCTCTGATAAAATGTATAGGATTTTTTATTTCTGAGTCTGAGCGGCGCTGGAGTAATAATAGCCTATATATAGGATATGTTATTCATCAGCAAAATTGTTTTTGTGTTTAAAATTGGATTAAAATAATCATTATCGATGCTTTAACTTATGATAAATAAAAAAGAATATTTTGAACTATATTTTTTATGAAAAAAATGTTTAAAATTGTATACTGTAAAAGAATTTTTAATATAATATTCAAGATGCTTAGTGTATGGTATAACAATTGTTTATCTTTCAATGCTAATATTTGCGATTAATTTTATTTTTAAAAATAAAAATTTTCTACTGAAATTTTAAGAAATTCCATGTAAATATTTATATTAGAAAAAAATGGTACGAATAAAATGGTCTTTAACTAAAGCACCTAATATCCTTAAGTGAGTAATAAAAAATAATGAAAAAAAACTTCATTATTTGTTTTAATATATATAGTTACATTTTATTGTTCTTAGACTTAATTTAAAACAGAAGTGGTGGCGTCTACAGATCATTACAAAATCTTTATTTTATAATGAATTTTTAAATTGGAGTTATGTTTGTGATATACTTTTGGAACCAATGTTCTGGTTTGTAGAAAATTTTACTGCATGTTTAGGACCTGTGAGTATTTTTATAATTTTTTTTAATTTTATTTATATTGTAATATATTAATTTATATCGTGTGATTTTTATAAAAATAATTATTATTGGTCACAATGTATTTACTAAGCTTGACAGTTTATAGGTATTTGTAATAATGGTAAGCCTTTTAACTGCAAGTATTGTGTACATTGCATATTACATTGGTCTACCATATTGGTGGGAAAAAAGTCCATTGATGACAATAATCCTCTTAGTGATTGGAAATTGGTTATTAATAAATGTATGTTTTCATTATTATATGGGTGTAAATGTTCCAGCTGGTTATCCACCAGAAGGTGGTCTTATACCAGAGGCTGTGAGTATTTGTAAAAAATGTATTAAACCAAAGCCTCCTAGGACCCATCATTGTTCTGTATGTAATAGATGTATTCTTAAAATGGATCATCACTGCCGTATCCTTTTGGATTTATTATTTAATGTTTAAATATTTTCTTAAAATTCTGTATATTTTCTAAACAAAGAAACAGCATGGTTAAACAATTGTGTTGGTCACTATAATCATAGACATTTCTTTCAATATATGGTTTTCACAGTACTTGGTATATTATTCATAATGCTATTTGGTGTAGAGATTGCATATCAAGAATTCTTTCCAGCACAGGAGCCAGAATTAGATGGTCATCCAGTGCGCATTAATAATTCTGAAATAATTCCTATGGTAATTATTATGATTTTATTTACAAAAAATATTCAGATAAGAATCATTTACTTCTTTTATTTTCTTTTATATTATTTATTATCTATTTATTTTTCAGACTGAGTCATTAGATCATCTAAGTGAAGAGGAATTAGCTGAAATAGCAAAACAAGCTGCAGATACAAACATTAAAGAATGGAAACGCCGACTTATAGTTTTTGCAGCACTAATTTGTGTAGCCACATTTGCAGCATTAGGAGCACTTACATGGTGGCATGCAGGTCTTATTACAAGAGGAGAAACAAGTATAGAAGCGCGTATAAATAGCACAGAAACACAAAAGTACAAGGTACTTGGAAAAATATATCAAAATCCATATAATTTTGGACCAAGACAAAATTGGAAACTTTTTTTAGGAATAATTGGAAGGTAATTTTAAAGATAAAATATTATTAATACATAATTTTTCAATATAATAATTATTATATTTTATTATTTGATCTAACAGAAATTGGTGGCATATACTTTTTCCATCTACTCATGGACCATATGGAGATGGTCTTACATGGAAAACTATTCATGATATAAAAATATCTTGAGTATAATTTCTCTATTAATAATTACAGAAATTATACTTTTTTACAGTCATAAAAAATATCACTTTTACAGATTTAAAAATCTTCTAGTCAAACTATACATACTTTGATTAATATAATATAGTCTGAGAATTTTAATGTCAACCTTAATCAATATAAATACAGATTTTTTACATCAACAAAATTATTCAACATGTACATATATCAATCACGATACCTTTAACAAACACTTTTATCTAATATTATATTTATTGTATATTTTTTAAGTATTACCAATATCAAATATATTTTACACTTTTAAATCAGTCAAAATAACTGCTCGAAAAATAAAAAATTTTTTATCTTTGCAAAACAAGATTTACATCAATAAACCAAAAAATTTATGGCCAAACAATATCTTCAATCCAATTAAGATAATGTGAAACTCTAGTATATACTCCAGGTATATTAACACCTCCACAGCCTTGTCCAAAACTAGTGATGCCTAATACTTGAAAGAAACACATATTTTTTGGATGAGATATTTGTAAAGGACCTCCTGAATCTCCTTGACAAGTATCTTTATTCCATCCACTATGATCTCCTGCACAGATCATATTTGGTGTAATTCCATATGGTATTGCTATAGATTGATTGTGTCTCATTGCACAAGCTACATTATCAATAATATCAAGGAATGCCTTTTGCAGTTGATCACTTTGTTTTTCCCCATCTATAAATATTAATAATTTAAAATAAAATATTAATATTTTGTGATATATTTTTTTAAAGAAAAATTTTGTTAATTTTATAATATTTCAGTTTTACTAAATTCTGTAACACCCCAACCAGTAACCCATCCTTGTGCAGGTACAGTATCATATTGTTGATATAAACAAGCAGGTCTTATGTCATTGTTAAAGACAACAACTGTATTTAATTTTACTAGAGCTATATCAGCATACATAGCAGGAGGTTTAAAATTTGGATGCCTTATTATCTTATTGATTGTAGTTATGATACCTTGTTGATTATTTTTTATATTATATACACCAATACGAGCATTTGTAGGACTTCTATTTAACAAAAAATAATATTTTTTAGAATTTTCATATTAAAAATTTATAACAATGAATAAAACAAATAATACTTTGCCCCATAAGTACAATGTGCTGCAGTAAGTACCCATTCTGATGCAATAAGAGTACCACCACATGAAAAGCTAAATATATTATCTGTACTTCTTGTTCCTAGAGCAACCATGTGAGGGAATTCTCCAGGAGAAGCATCAACACCTCCAACAACAAG